CTATGAATGTGAACAACCTTATCCTTTTTGTAACACTGTATCCCCAGATATTCCCACTTTGAATATACTTGACCACTATTCAAATTTGGATATCACTGTATTTACAGATGGTTCTAAAATTGATGGTAAAGTAGGAAGTAGCTTTGTGGTTTTTGACAAACAATTAGAGATACAAAATCAAGTTTATCGTCTCCATACGAACTGTACTGTTTTCCAATCAGAACTTTTGGTGATTCAAAAGGCCATTGATTGGGTTAGTGATAATTTACCACATTATGATATTCAAATCTACACAGATTCACTCTCTGCCCTTAACATTATTCGTGGCACTAAGCTTCATCCTTTGGCAGTGGAAATAAGGAGTTCAATCAGAAACTCAACATGTAATATCAGTATTTCTTGGGTTAGATCTCATCAGGAACTCACAGGCAATGAGAGGGCTGACTCTCTTGCAAAGGCTTGCAGCACTAAACTCCACCCACCATTCCTCTTTCCTACGATAAAATCAGTCACATCATTTTGTGACGCTTACTATGGGAGCAAGCTATTAACCATTGGCAACATCGTTGGAATGATAGTAACCAAAGTATCACATTTCAGTTTGTCCCCCCGACTTAAAAAGCTTCTTTAAAATAAAATGGTTTACTCCTGATTACTACACAACTCAATTATTTACAAATCACAGAAAATTTGCTACGCACCTTGCCAGATTTTTAAACAGAACATCAGATCAGTGCCTAACCTGTATGATTGCAAGTGGATCTCAACACTACATTTTTGATTGTGTGATGACCGAAATAGAAAGAACTGAACTGCGGCTACTCTTACAAGAATTGAACATAGCTTGGCCTTGCCACCTCTCAAACATCTGAACCAACCAAGAGATATTCTCTGCTTTTAAAAGAGTTGCAAAAAAGATCAATCAGATCACAAGTCAACTAATCTAACAAGCTAACACTGAGTTTGACTTAAAGACTGTCTACAATGTACATACTGTTGTTTGTTTACATTTCCTGTATTTTATTTCCTTGGTAGTGCTCATAGCGGAGCCAAGGTATGCATTTATGCCTCCGTAAATAAATAAATTGATTGATTGATTGCGTAATGCACAAGCAACAGAAATCATAACATAGCAGTCATGTAGTACTCTACAGTTATACTACAGCCTGCTTAACACAAAAATAGCTGGTTCTCTGGTAATTCTGGAAGCCGAATATTTGGTTCATTAATGTAAATGTGTACCAAAGGTTACAAAATAGTACATTACAAGAGTTAAATAAAAAAAAGAATGACAAAACAAACCATTTAAGTGTTTTTGAATTGTACACTTATTTTCAGGAAATTCTATTTTTATTTCACATATTCCTGAAGATAAGTTTGTAACATCAAAGTTTTTAATCAGTTGTTTAATTAATGATGTTTCCATTTATTTAATTCCCTTAAAACGTTTTTGTCTTTTGTTAATTTATTATATTTGATACATTTAAACATCCTTATTTGAACTTGTGAAAAATACATGATATCATTTTCTGTTTTCTACCAATCATAAAGACTTCAAAGGTAATTTTTAGAACATAGTTTTACTTTGTCTACTATCCATATTACATTTTTTGTCGTGTATGTAGTCCTCTTCAGAATACAGTACATAAAGTGTATACATACATATGGGGTTTAGACAAGTAACATGCCTAAACCATTAAGGCAATAAATTTACAAGGGATTGCGTGGGAGAGTCAAGTGAGAGGAGAGGTGAGAAGGAGGGAGTGTCGAGCAAGAGGAGTAGTAAACAGGACGAAGGTGGGTGACGACGAAAAAGTGGAAAGTAGAAAGGAAACAAAAGACGTTACGAAGGCGAAAGCATTATTATTCCATCAGGACGGTTACGACGGTTACGAACTCTGGAAGTTTATTGTCATTTCTATAATTCTCAATCTCAATACCCTTTTTCCTACATACATTAATTATAAAAACATAAATATACATAATAAATTTTATTAAACAATCATATCATATTATGTATATTACAATGACCAACATCCACAATGAGTGATAACCTAAAACATTTAAAATTCTTAAAGAATTACAACATTTATTAATAAAGATCCAAAATTTTAATATATTTTATTTAGTTTTTGATTTGTTACAATAAGAAACGGATTTATTTTATAAGAAGTAAACCAAATGAAATTAAGCAATTAACTTGTATAAATCATAATCTTCATCATCATCATCAAATTACATTTGTGCAATTTTAAATTAGGATTGTTTTAAAGAGCCGGTTATAATCTCAGAGAAAATTTTTTATCGGTAAATCATCTAATTAACAGATTTTATTTTTGGGAAAGTAATATTTTCTCAAGTTACTCTTTATAATTTCAATAAATATACTTTTAACTTAACTATTTATTCTTTCTAATTTCACTAATTATACCAAATTAATCATAATTAACTCTGTAAAATATAATTAATATTGTAAATTATTTTAGAAGTTTTATAAAAACAGAAACTAATTTTTAAACAGTAAAATGTCCCAAGAAAAAATTTTCGATTGCAGATTTTCAATGTTGGCTGCCTACTATAATTAATAGCGAGGTTGCGGCTGAAGTTTTCATCTCTAAAACATGAACTAAAACTCTAAAGCGATGCTCAACATTCATGTTTTAGAAATGAAAACTTTGTACTGCAACCTTGCTGTTAACAACAAAATAAGTTGCGCTATAGTGTACTAGTCCCAGTCAAATTATCTTTTGAAAAGAAAAGCTAAATAAAATAAAATCAACATTTTTAACTGGTCTTTATTTATTTTCAACTCAATTTTCCACCCTGTCGGCACTAAAAGGGGTTTCTTTTTTCAAGTACATTAGGAGTTCAGCCAGGCCCACAATGAGACAGCCAGGTAGTGAGGGACAGGGTTTGATGTATCTGGATGGGTCACCCCAGGAAAATTCCTGGGTATTTTTGACCTATCTCGATTCAATTCCACATCCCCCATAGTAAAAGGTTGCCCCCTTAACTTTGCTATTTGGCTGTCTTATTTTAAATTGTCAGAAGATATATTTGGCTAATGTGCTATTTTTATAATTATAACATTATAATTTTTGAATATTTTAAAAATCAAATATAAATTTTAGCTGAAATATTTATGCTAATTATTATGTCTTATGTATATTACATTAAAACAAATGATATGATTTAAAATAATTTATGATAGAATAAAACAAAATTTAACTAAAGAGAATATGTAAACAATCTTATTTTATGAAATTTAATATCTTTATATGTAAATTTTACTGAGCTCATAAAATTGAATGTAAATTTTAATAAGTAGAATAACATAAATATTTCTGCGTATATAAATGCATGAATTTATCAGCAGTTACTTTGTAAACAATCTTATTTCATGGTTTTATAAGGCTTAATATTCCATTTACAGAAGCAAACTATCACATACAAAAACTTTCATACATGTCAATATATTTCTGAAGCTTTAAGAGAGCAATTCAACCAGTTAAAGAACTTTAAAGAATTTTTATGTTTTTGTTCCTGTGAATCCTAAGAGGGGTTTTTTCATTATCCATTGTGGATTTGACCAAATTCACATTGGGAATGATCAGAAAATGACTGCTGCAAAAATTTCCAAGATGTTTCAACTGCCTGGAACTTAATTAATTGACTTGCAACAGTGGTGGTTGTTTGGCTGTTGAAAATCTTGTTTGAAATAGTGGCATAATAATCAACAGGATTTGAATTTCTTTTCCAACAAATAATTTTATTCTAAAGTGTGTCATTATATAGTCATATCAAGCTTTTACTGTCATAAAATAGCCTCAATATTCCAGTCTTAAAAAATTTGATATGCATCATACATAAATCTACTTCTCATCAAATACCTATATCATCGTAAACGATGTCAAGACATACACCTATACTTACATATAATATTGTTTAGAACATGTACAATTATTAAAAACTGTTTATGTATGTATAACTTTAAATAAAACAAACACAATATTAATTTATTATCAAGGACACCATGTATTATATACAATTTTATTATAACAAAAGGAAGATATAAATTTATTTCTTCTAAACACAAACTTTTTCTTAGCTATATTTATTTTTTAAGAGGTGGTAGTTGATATTACAGTCAGTTAAAGTTGTACCAAAAATAAAACACATATTTACTAAAATTATGTTGTTGCAAATAAAAGAATAAAGGCATTTGGTTTCTTCACAAACAGTTCACTTTAACAAATAACTTAAAACTTAAACAAGATAGATTACGAATGTTACGAGTACACACAAGCAAAACAAAAGTAATGCATCTGAATGTGTTTCAGTCTGAACTTGAATGCCAATGCCAGCAGTTCTCGAACAGCATACAGAATTTTAATTTTTTAAAAAATTCTTTTGATATTTAGCTAACTCCTTTCATAAAGAGTGCACAATGAATTTGTGCACTCTTTATGAAAGGCAATATATTAGTATTAATATAAGAAATATACATATATACAGGACATTATAATGATACAGGGTTTGTGAAAACTTAATGTGTAGCGAGAAATGATGTAACAATATGTAACAACATTAAAGTTATACATTATACAAGACCTGTAAGTTGTACATCCCATGTTTCTAGTTTGTGGTAGATGGCATTACTGGTTGCTCATGGATGTTCTGGTTTTTGTTTTTGGAAGACTTCTTTGCCAATAGCATAATTTACCTTGGAATCTAACCTGCTACGTTTAGACTTTACTCTCCTAGATTTTGAAGTATCTGAAGGCATTTCTGGCATTTGTTATAGGAGAAACTGCAGTATTGTACATAAAACTTCACTTTTATTACAACTTTACTTAAACCTTTTCTACTGATCAGTAAATTTTTGGACACATTGTATTGAATATTTAATATTATATAACTGTTTAATAATGATTTTAAACTGAATATTAATAATTTTATCTTAGTCTTTACTTTCTAACTGACCATCTTGTTTTATTTAGTTCTGGTACGTACGAGATATGTGAAGCGGACGGTGTTCAAAACGGAACAAAAATAGTACTACATTTAAAACGTGATTGTGAGCAGTTTTCCAATGAAGATACTATTAAAGGTAATTTTAAATGTTAAAATATTCATGTTAAAGTAGATATACATAAATTTTAATAATACACATTTATTCTTTCTAATTTCACTAATTATACCAAATTAATCATAATTAACTCTGTAAAATATAATTAATATTGTAAATTATTTTAGAAGTTTTATAAAAACAGAAACTAATTTTTAAACAGTAAAATGTCCCAAGAAAAAATTTTCGATTGCAGATTTTCAATGTTGGCTGCCTACTATAATTAATAGCGAGGTTGCGGCTGAAGTTTTCATCTCTAAAACATGAACTAAAACTCTAAAGCGATGCTCAACATTCATGTTTTAGAAATGAAAACTTTGTACTGCAACCTTGCTGTTAACAACAAAATAAGTTGCGCTATAGTGTACTAGTCCCAGTCAAATTATCTTTTGAAAAGAAAAGCTAAATAAAATAAAATCAACATTTTTAACTGGTCTTTATTTATTTTCAACTCAATTTTCCACCCTGTCGGCACTAAAAGGGGTTTCTTTTTTCAAGTACATTAGGAGTTCAGCCAGGCCCACAATGAGACAGCCAGGTAGTGAGGGACAGGGTTTGATGTATCTGGATGGGTCACCCCAGGAAAATTCCTGGGTATTTTTGACCTATCTCGATTCAATTCCACATCCCCCATAGTAAAAGGTTGCCCCCTTAACTTTGCTATTTGGCTGTCTTATTTTAAATTGTCAGAAGATATATTTGGCTAATGTGCTATTTTTATAATTATAACATTATAATTTTTGAATATTTTAAAAATCAAATATAAATTTTAGCTGAAATATTTATGCTAATTATTATGTCTTATGTATATTACATTAAAACAAATGATATGATTTAAAATAATTTATGATAGAATAAAACAAAATTTAACTAAAGAGAATATGTAAACAATCTTATTTTATGAAATTTAATATCTTTATATGTAAATTTTACTGAGCTCATAAAATTGAATGTAAATTTTAATAAGTAGAATAACATAAATATTTCTGCGTATATAAATGCATGAATTTATCAGCAGTTACTTTGTAAACAATCTTATTTCATGGTTTTATAAGGCTTAATATTCCATTTACAGAAGCAAACTATCACATACAAAAACTTTCATACATGTCAATATATTTCTGAAGCTTTAAGAGAGCAATTCAACCAGTTAAAGAACTTTAAAGAATTTTTATGTTTTTGTTCCTGTGAATCCTAAGAGGGGTTTTTTCATTATCCATTGTGGATTTGACCAAATTCACATTGGGAATGATCAGAAAATGACTGCTGCAAAAATTTCCAAGATGTTTCAACTGCCTGGAACTTAATTAATTGACTTGCAACAGTGGTGGTTGTTTGGCTGTTGAAAATCTTGTTTGAAATAGTGGCATAATAATCAACAGGATTTGAATTTCTTTTCCAACAAATAATTTTATTCTAAAGTGTGTCATTATATAGTCATATCAAGCTTTTACTGTCATAAAATAGCCTCAATATTCCAGTCTTAAAAAATTTGATATGCATCATACATAAATCTACTTCTCATCAAATACCTATATCATCGTAAACGATGTCAAGACATACACCTATACTTACATATAATATTGTTTAGAACATGTACAATTATTAAAAACTGTTTATGTATGTATAACTTTAAATAAAACAAACACAATATTAATTTATTATCAAGGACACCATGTATTATATACAATTTTATTATAACAAAAGGAAGATATAAATTTATTTCTTCTAAACACAAACTTTTTCTTAGCTATATTTATTTTTTAAGAGGTGGTAGTTGATATTACAGTCAGTTAAAGTTGTACCAAAAATAAAACACATATTTACTAAAATTATGTTGTTGCAAATAAAAGAATAAAGGCATTTGGTTTCTTCACAAACAGTTCACTTTAACAAATAACTTAAAACTTAAACAAGATAGATTACGAATGTTACGAGTACACACAAGCAAAACAAAAGTAATGCATCTGGATGTGTTTCAGTCTGAACTTGAATGCCAATGCCAGCAGTTCTCGAACAGCATACAGAATTTTAATTTTTTAAAAAATTCTTTTGATATTTAGCTAACTCCTTTCATAAAGAGTGCACAATGAATTTGTGCACTCTTTATGAAAGGCAATATATTAGTATTAATATAAGAAATATACATATATACAGGACATTATAATGATACAGGGTTTGTGAAAACTTAATGTGTAGCGAGAAATGATGTAACAATATGTAACAACATTAAAGTTATACATTATACAAGACCTGTAAGTTGTACATCCCATGTTTCTAGTTTGTGGTAGATGGCATTACTGGTTGCTCATGGATGTTCTGGTTTTTGTTTTTGGAAGACTTCTTTGCCAATAGCATAATTTACCTTGGAATCTAACCTGCTACGTTTAGACTTTACTCTCCTAGATTTTGAAGTATCTGAAGGCATTTCTGGCATTTGTTATAGGAGAAACTGCAGTATTGTACATAAAACTTCACTTTTANAAAGATTTGAAAGTGTTACCATCTAAATTTTTTGTGTTTGTAATTTTCAACCCAAAATGGTCATGGATGTCTGTGTTATCTGAGTTTTTGGTTATCTGTAGTAGTAGAATTAGTATAAATTGCCTTAGATAATTGGGGTTTCTTCTGTAAATAATATTGAAGTGGATATTTAACTAGATCTTATAAATTTAGCACTATAAAGTTAAAACTATAAAAATAATTTATTACCTGCACTGTATCTTTCTCAAGTGAAAACTAGTGGATTAAAGACAGTCACAGGTGTTAAAAATAGCTTAGTTGGGGTGATTAAGGTGGGAGATCTGATATCACATCTAGGCAAGAAACCCCAATTTTTCACATGCAATTTGCCCTAGATATGTCAGGCCTCACCCCTTGTTGTGTTGTCACCCCATCATGGACCTGGCCAAACCCACAAAGGCCCTGGAAAAAATTTTTCTCTCTCTTCATCCTGGAAAATGCCCACAGGATGGAAAGAGCTAAAAATGAATAAAATATATATAGTTCTTGAAATAGATTTTTGATCAGAGTAGAAATAAAATTTTGCAAATTATTTTTTATATTGTTTTTATCTCTGCTTTTTGATTATGTTTGGAGACAAATTTTGTTTCATTAAATTTATTATTTAAAAAATTAATATAAAATTGTTATTATTTCAGATGTGATTAGAAAATATAGTAATTTTGTTTGTAGTCCAATTTATTTAAATGGAAAAAGAATTAATACAATCCAGGTATGTTCATTTTATATAATATTTATTCTCAGCAACACATTTTAAAAGTATTAAATTTTTCTCTTGTATAGTTCATAAATAATATAAAAGATATATATACATATTCTGAATGATTATAATTTAGAAATCAGTCTTTTGGAGGAAAAAAATCAACTTATTTCCAAGCTTTAAAATTAATTGAATTTATTGGGCTGCAATATTCAAATTGCAGCCCAACACACAAAATAAAAAACATAAAAAATAATTGCTAAAATTTGCATTTAAAAGTACTATTAAGCTTTTAATAAGTGGTGTTTCTTGTTGTTTTTATCTTGCTAAACACATTTGAGTACATTTTAAGATTTGGCTGTTTTATTATAAATTATTTGAATTATTGTAGCACCAATCTTTCATTCTGATTCTTCTCATGAGTGAAGCAGTCAGTTGAAGTTTGACAATTTGCTGTACAATTGTATTTCTTTCAATATAGAATAATTTTTTTATGCTGTTTGGTGTAGGGTATTTTGACATTTAATCGAAAACATTGAATAATACAATAAATTTATATTATTTGCACACATTTTAAGTTTTGCTGATGAATAGTTTACAATTATCCTTTTTCTGTTTTATTAATTAAACTTTAAATTTTGTTTAAAAAAGTCCTATTATATTATTTTTACTGTTTTTAAAATCTGAAACAAATCTTCCTTTTTTCTACAGGAACAGTATGTTTCTTTTAATACAGACTTTTCAAGAACATATCTACTATGTAAAAACTTAATGGATTCTAATTATATTGTTGTCTATGTTGGACTTAGTATGTTGACAGGACTTATTATACTGGTGTTTTTGCAAATAGAGGAAATCTTATTTGTTAAAAACAAAATCTTTATTTTTTACCTGGTTTTTCACTTGCAAAAACTGATACAACAACGATATAATTAAAATTGGATACAGTAAGGACATAGAGGCAAAATAATTAATTGGGTTCTCTTTTTAATTATTATTTTTACAGATGTTTTTAATTTTGAAGAAAAACATTAACATTATTTCAAGGCATTCAAAAGATCTACATAACTTTATTCTTTTTCTATATATCTTGATTAGACTTCTACAGGTTTTATAATCCACTTCCATGCCAATCCATCAATGAAGCATCAGCCATTTTAGAAATTTAATGCTTAAAATATTAGAGTTCCTATGTTTTTTTTTAAATTGTATTAAGTAGTATTTACCCATAGAGACACAAAAGTATGTGGGTTTTTGTTATACTATTGTAAATGAGTTCTCTAGTAGACAGAATTTAATGGATTTATGTAACTTTTACATATTTGACATTTAATTTTAATTATAATAAAATTTTAAAATAAATTTTATAAGGCATAAGATAATAAACCAGTTTTTTGGACTTAAACATGAATAAGATGGGAATAAAATTCCATGAGACTAGAAGCTACAGAGAGTTAAGATATCCAAGTACAGTGCAATCATAAAGTCACTTAGCAGTTCACCACATCCAGTAGTGGCCAAATAGTGATGTCATCTTATTTTAACTCTTTGTATGTGCTGTCTGTCTGTGACATCATTGCATTGTTCCTGGAACTCTTCCCATTTCCAGCCACTGTTGAGTTATTTTATGATTGCACTGTATATTACTTCCATTTCAAGTTGAATATGCTTTGACACATTTAATTCTGCAGTAAATGTGAAGTAGAAAACTGGAAAATCCAGAAATCTTGGCCATTTATGCATGTGGATTTGAATAAGATCTGCCGAGTTCTATTTTGAACTTTGCTTCTCCATTTGCTCTGTAATCAAGTAAATAAATTAAAATATTTTCACCATAAAATTTTTTAAAGAAATAATTTCCTCACTTTACTTTCTTACATAATAAAGATATTAAATAAAATTAACAGAACATCTCTTCAGAGAAATTATAAATAATCTATTTATTAGGCATTATGGCTCATGGATCCAAAAGAAGTAACTACGACGATGCATGAAGAATTTTATCGCTTTGTTTCTAATTCATACGACGTCCCTCGGTATTGGCTTCATTATAAAACTGATGCTCCCATCAATATTCGTTGTTTGCTGTACGTTCCCGAAGGAAAACCAGGATTATTTGAATTGCAACGCGACAGTGACGTCGGAGTGGCACTTTATAGCCGAAGAATCTTAATTAAAAATAAAGCAGAAATGATTCTTCCCAAATGGTTGAAATTTGTAAAAGGTAATGCTGAATTTGATTTTTTTCAGTAAAATATATTATCTGATATATTCAGTTCTATAACAATATTTAAATTTAATTTGAGTTTTATTGATTAACCTATTTGAAAATAAATTTTATTTTGAATCCATTGGAGGAGTTACAAAATAATTTACAGGAGAAAATAAAGTCTTTTTATTCTTCAGATGTTACAATATATATATACAACTTGTGAAGATTTTATCATATAATGAACTGTCATAAATCCAGCTTAAAGACAGGCAGGAAATAAACATTTATTTGAATCAGTAAATAATTCAATTGCTGGTTACAGGTACTCATGAACTGTAATGACTTTTACAGCTGAATTTGCAATAGTGTATTATTATGATCACATCAATACAAGTTGCACAGAAAATAAAGTATAAAAAAAAATCTCCAATCTTCACAATAAAAAAAAGAAAATTTCTAATAATTTCTTTTCATATAATGTAAAAGTTTCCTAAACTGATTATATTAAATAGACAATCATTAATTATCCTTTACTTAGATAATTGATCACAATCTCTGCAATTCTGTACAAAAATCATATGACTTTGCAATAGCAGAAAAGCCATCATTTATTAGAAACTGCTAAATGAAGTATAGGAGATTTGACAAACAGAACTTTGTCCCAGCAGATAGGAAATTGTACCTATTATTATCAGAATGAATAAACAAAGAATCTAATATATTATTTTAAATGTTTAATTCATTTATAAGCAAAAGATGGCCAAAGGATCAAGAACAGGGTGGCAAACCTATATTTGCCACCCTGTTCTTGATCCTTTGTAACGTGAATTGGGAGAAATCATCTGGCACATAATGTATCATAAGATATTGGTTATCACTCGTCTTTTTTAAACATTCTTTTGGTTTATCATCTGATCATTCTTTCTTTCAATCAGCTTCATTACATTTATTCTAATTAAAGTATGTTATTTTAAATATTGTTATTTGAAGTCTAAAACTTCAGCAGGCACAAACATTTTAAAAGATAGCATGCCATATAATAAGCACACTTGATTTAAAAAGGTTTGCCATCCCTGGCTTCGAACATTCACTGTAGAACTGTTAATAATTGTTTATTTGTATGGTATGACAATCAAAATAAATAATGTATATTTTATTATTCATTACTTATTTTGATTATTACTCTGATTATTAACAAAATAAAATAGTAGTTAGTTACATCATTGAATTAATTTGATTTTTAATATTATATTAATATAAATTAAAAAGTTTTAGTTCTGTAGTATATGAGAAAATTATTTACTACCAAAGTGTACAAAACCCAGCATTGTCTGCAATAATATTGTACAATACTGCTTAATTAAGGCAAATGATGTTAATTTTATTGCCAAAAAACTGTTTTTGCTTTAAATTATATGGCCATCATTAGTTAAGTTAATTTTTGACCTTCATATAAACTCAATATATAACTGGTCAAAACACCTAAATTTTCTAGAAATTATTATATTACAGACACCATAATTATTAGCCAGTCAACAACTTTATCTTATCCAGATACATTTCAATTATTATAATACCTTCTTCAGTGGGCTTTCTTTCCATAAAAACTAAACAGGGTACAAATAATTTTTTGATATTCTGACCATTTAACTACTTTCATATTAAAATTATTTTTACCTTTATTCTTTTGCTAGCAATACTTTGTTATACACAGTTACTTGCTATTATTGCTTTCATTCATTCTTTCACATCATTTGCCAACACTCCAACAACCAGACATTCCTTTGTCCTCTATCAGCCAAAAACCCAATTGAAGAAAACCCACCGAGGAGGAGGAAAATTTTAGTTTTAAACATGCATCTGGGTAAAATAAAGTTGTTGATTGGCTAATAATTATGGCATTTATGGATGTGATAATTCCTAGAAAATTAAGATGTTTTGATTGGTATATATTGAGATTAAAGAAACAGAATAGAAGCAAAAGTATAAATTACAAATCATCTTTTCCAAAACTTAACTGAGGTTACTTTTTAACATATTTTTCTTTCAATTAACAGGCTGGATTCATAGATTTACACTTTATACTTTATTTTTATAGGTGTAGTTGACAGTGAAGACATTCCATTAAATCTTAGCAGGGAATTGTTACAGGATAGTGCTCTTATCAGGTTTGATAGTTTACAAATTGGAAATAATTTTTAATTTTATAAACTAAATACTGTATTTATATGCATATAAGACAAGGCTTTTATTCATTTTTCACTGCTTCAAAAACTTTGGTTGTCCTATACATGCAAGTGAAGGATTTTTTTCATTTTGCAATAATTTTTCTAAACTGTATTTGCATTTTTTACTGGCTTCTCATCTTTTGGTGATTAAAAACAAAAGTGTTTTATCTGGGACATTTGAATCGTTCTTATGTATTGTCAGGCGTAAAGATGAATAGCAATAGGATAAGCAAGGCTTTTGAATTGAATTCCAAACTTACATGGGAGCCCGATATAAGTTTTAATTCATTCCCATGTGAAAACAGATGATTATTTGGAAATCGGAATTTGAAGAAACTTATAAGTTTAATTGACGAAGAGTGAATTTGACTGTTAAGAATTGGCAAAAAAGGTTCCCAATTGTCCAGTTTTATATGAACAAATTATGTTGTCAATTTTACAAGATTTTTCCTTGAAGTTTAAAATGCTAGTAATTTTTGCGGGACATTGTGTGCATTTATGTGCATTTAATATTTTATTTGTGATTAAACAAAGTAAAATTAAAAAATTAAATTGTATTAATAAATCTAAAGTCATACGTCCTATATGCGAGTAAATGCAGTATTAAAAGAAGAATTTGGCCTGTGCTAGAATATTTTTAAATAGCAGGCATTTTATTTTGGTCTACCATTTTAAAAAAATGATCAAATAATTTAATTGAAGATCTGCAAATTGATTATGATCATTTTAACTGATCTGTAGTAAATAATAATATAATGTTATTGTGTTGTCTTTGTCTACAGCTTGTTAAGCTTGAGAATATTTGTTTAAATTTAGAACCAAACGTACTTACTTAAAAATAAAGATGATAAAATTGACACATTCTTTAGTACAAAACAACTCCATGTATAACACCACAAGACTAACGAGTTGCTTTATTAATTCATTCAAATGGTTCACATCTCATCTTTAGATCTATACATAAAATAGGCTTGGAGAACAATACATATAAGTTTAAAAGTAATATAAAGTTAAAATTGAGTTATCCAAAGTGGAAAGAATATAACTTAAGGCATGTTTATCATTATATTTTTCCAGCAGACCATTGTATGCATTACAAACGTTTTCAGCATTTTTGAGAAGTCTGCTTCAAGTTGTTCTCTTGTTTAAACTTCTTTGAAGTTTTCAATCTTTGTAAGAAATTCTATTTTGGAATGCTTTGAAAATTCTTATACATAGTGATGTTTTTAAATGAGAACATAGCACATGCTGAGAATTACAACCAAAAACCTAAGATGTTAGTTTTAAAGAATATACTTAAAGTGTATTCTTTAACACCACAAAATTAAGGAGTCGCATACAAGAATTTTCAAAGCCTTCCAAAATATAATTTCCTCTGAAGATATGAAACTTCGTGGAAGTTGAAACAAGCTTATCAAAAGAGCTGAAAACATTTATAATGCATACACCTGTCTGCTGGAAAGTATGCATGCAGAACACAATCATTGTGTTCTGATGTTTGTTCTGTGTGTTCTGCATTTGTGTGTTTTGCATGCAGTGTTCTCTTCTGCATGCAGTATGTTTTTTCCACTTATGAAAAAAACGAACTGAATTGAATATAATTTTGTCTAATGAAGATAAAAAATCTACAGCTGCCTATTTTATTTTTAAATTGGTTACTCATTTTTATCTTAGAGAACTTTAATTTTTTCATTCATTCATAAAAATGTTAAAATAAAAATATTAGAACAAATTTTTGGTTAATAACTAACAGGAGGTGATTGTTCGGTCGAGTATCGAGGTACCACTGTATTTGATTAACACGATTTTGATATATGTGGTAACGTCGAGAAATTTGTTAATCACATTAATCAAGGGATACCTATAGTAGGTAACCTGTATATAGCAGAAACCCGTCTACTATGGAAGGGTTGTTCAGTCCCTTGGGATTTCATTATAGACAAGTTTGACTGTATAATGTTGTTATTGTACTCAATTGATCTTATTAGAATGTCTTTTAATTTTTGTTTTCCAATAGTAAATATTAAATGCCATATTCTTTGGGTATATATAATTCAGCTAATATTAATTAGCTGAATTATATTTGGCAGAAGACCAAATACTAATACTAATACTGATACAGCATATGTAATTACAGAAGCAAGTATGAAGACTTACTCCTACCTCTACATCAAATTATTTGTTTTGANTTGTAATCTTTATAAATTTTTTTTAAACTGAATATATATATATATATATAAATAAAGTTTGCAATCTGCTCTGGAATATCTCATTTATACCATTATTATAAATTTCTTGCAATTTTATCCTGAATAATAGAAATTAAATTCATCTCGTGTAATTTATATGACTTAAATCATTATTATTCTTTTTCACATCTTTGATTTTTAATAATTTTGAATAGTTTCCATACTGCTGAATGTATTTTTAACTTTGCTGAAATTTTTCTGACACTTGTACAAGTAGTAGTATTGATACACTTAATATGTTCTTGTTTCTGTAGTATAAACATTACACTTTTAAAATAGTTAATAAAAAGAAAATATTGACAAGATAATTTATAAAAATAAATATCAAACAAAGAAATAAAATATAGTAAGACCCCAATTATCCAAGATGTAAGCCTGAAAATGAAACTACAGGTAGGCCTCCTACAACATGGTAGATACGTTCCTTGAAAATACCGCGTTGTGGGAAATTGCGTTATAGGAGACACCAACTTAATACAAAAACTGGGATTCGGTTCTAAAAAGAGAAAAATTTGCCGTTTGAATGGCGTTTTTTGAATTTTTCAAACCAGCCGTTGCTAGCCACAAATTTAACACTGATTTCATCAGCCGACGACTGTCCCATTTGTTTTAAATAATCAAATATTTTTAAGGCTTTGTGTTTAACTGCACTTTTATTTAAAGGCAACCGTTTCTTGTTCATATCTTCTACTCATAATATTAGCACTTGTTCCATTTTTTTTTTTTTTTCATTATAGGTGCTCTCGGACAAGCAACATTTTTCACAAGAATAGATGATCCAGATGCGACTGAATTCCTAATCTTTTCTTCCTATTGCTTAATCGACCGAATAGTTGACTCATTTAAATTGAAATGCCTACCAATATCAGCTATCCGCTCTTGATTTTTAATTCAATCCAAAATTTCTATCTTTGTTTGAAGAGATATATTAATAAATTTCCTTTCTAACGATGGTCCTTTCTTTTCATTCAACATTGTTATGGCTAAAATTTTTTCAAGCAGTTTTGTGGACAGTAAAAATCACAAAAAATAACTTCCCTTCACTATGTTGTTAAAAATATACACCCAATAGAAGTTTATACTGTATTTTGGACCATTTTTGCAGTCCCCACCTATTGAAAGAATATAAATTATCGAAAATTCAGTGATATATTTAAGTGTTTATGGTAACTGATGCACATCTGTCTAGAAACCGGCCTTCCCCTGAAACTTTCATGGGAATAACACGTCAATGTGGACAAACAGCTGTTTTCGAGGACATTTAGCTCTGTACACCGAACTGTGGCATGTATTAAGTGATTCATTGAGATTTTTCTGTTATGTGAAAGATAATTCGTTTCTAAATACCATAAACCACGTTGTAAAAAAATTTCCGCATTTTTCCAACCGCATTGGAGCAAAAACACGTTGTAAAGGTACCGCGTTGTAGGAGGCCTACCTGTACTGCTTTTCTTATACAGTAATTCAGTGGTTCTTAGCCTTTCTGAGACCACAGAACACCATTCTTATACTTTTTATTACAGAGAGCATTAACATCACAATATTAAAAAATTGTTAAGCAATTCCAAATTTACTATTATCATGAAACACTGAAGGAATAAACTAATAAACTTTGTTGTATCAAATAAAATAGTAAACATGGGATTGCTTACAAATAAAGTAATATGTTTTAGTACAATGGAATAAATTTGGAATAAAAACTTAACACTATTTAACACCAGTGAGACATCATTCATATTAAAATGTAACTATAGTATTACGCATTTTTATTCTTAAGACAGTTGTCCATAAAAATTGTTCTTATACATGAGTAAATTCACTAATGTATAGAAAAAAAGGTTTGAAAGTGTTACCATCTAAATTTTTTGTGTTTGTAATTTTCAACCCAAAATGGTCATGGATGTCTGTGTTATCTGAGTTTTTGGTTATCTGTAGTAGTAGAATTAGTATAAATTGCCTTAGATAATTGGGGTTTCTTCTGTAAATAATATTGAAGTGGATATTTAACTAGATCTTATAAATTTAGCACTATAAAGTTAAAACTATAAAAATAATTTATTACCTGCACTGTATCTTTCTCAAGTGAAAACTAGTGGATTAAAGACAGTCACAGGTGTTAAAAATAGCTTAGTTGGGGTGATTAAGGTGGGAGATCTGATATCACATCTAGGCAAGAAACCCCAATTTTTCACATGCAATTTGCCCTAGATATGTCAGGCCTCACCCCTTGTTGTGTTGTCACCCCATCATGGACCTGGCCAAACCCACAAAGGCCCTGGAAAAAATTTTTCTCTCTCTTCATCCTGGAAAATGCCCACAGGATGGAAAGAGCTAAAAATGAATAAAATATATATAGTTCTTGAAATAGATTTTTGATCAGAGTAGAAATAAAATTTTGCAAATTATTTTTTATATTGTTTTTATCTCTGCTTTTTGATTATGTTTGGAGACAAATTTTGTTTCATTAAATTTATTATTTAAAAAATTAATATAAAATTGTTATTATTTCAGATGTGATTAGAAAATATAGTAATTTTGTTTGTAGTCCAATTTATTTAAATGGAAAAAGAATTAATACAATCCAGGTATGTTCATTTTATATAATATTTATTCTCAGCAACACATTTTAAAAGTATTAAATTTTTCTCTTGTATAGTTCATAAATAATATAAAAGATATATATACATATTC